GACAAGAATGTTATCCGCTACCTTCAGCACCGACCCCTTCAAGCGCTTCCTTAAACTATTTCTTCTACCACCCTGGCGCCAGCATGGCAGCTGTCGACGCCGAAATAATGGAGCTGCACAAGGACAATGTCTACAGTCATCAGACAATCTTCCACGACGCTAGCTCAGAGCGGGAGCCTACGGTTCGAATGACGAAGTGAGGTTCGGGAGTACCTGTAAACTCAGCTCTAGATAGCGGTGGGTCGGGAAACTACTGGATGAAGAAGCTGCCTCCTCGGTCAATCCGTACGCAAGGCAGCTACGAGATCTGAAGCGAATCAAGCAGAGGGCAAAATCCATCGGCACAGTCCGTCTTCAACGTGCTGGTGCAGCACACCCCGTCAAAAAAAGTTCGAGCCGTACTTCATGCAATAGAGCTGGATGGCTCTCCCCTTGCACCGGTGTAGTCCAGACATTGCTCTTTCTGACTGCTAGTCGCCTCCCGTATTCAACCGTTATACAGCCGAGAAAACCTCCACGACTTGAGCCCAAGTCAAAGTTGAGATGATGTCCAACTTTGCGTCGCGCCGGCGTGCATTGTTAAGCGATGGCATCCACGAACTGTCCAAAAACTGGCAAGGATCTCTCAATAACATTGCTGTATAATTTTGATCTTGTACGCCTCTCTGTAAAAAGAAAGTCTTTGAAAAAATGTGACAGAACTTTCCCGCCAACCTAATAATATCCATCCTCCCACTCCCCATGCTACATACCTACCACTTTCCTAGATTTTCCCAAGTTCCTATCAGTTCTTCCATTTTTCCCGAAAAAATTCCAGTTTTTCAGCAAAAAATTTCCCGTCGAGCGGGGTGGGGGAGGGGTGGCATACTCTCAATGTGAAACAGGGAAATTTCAGGAAAACAGGGAATTTTCCCCAACTTCCTACAGTTTGGCAGTCCGTCTCCCAACAACGACTAAATACGACCCCCCCCCCTTATAGCGTCCGTGAAACAGGAGAAACCAGACTATCGAAACTTTTTTTCTCTGACGTGCAATACGAGACCACCCCACCCCCCCTTGTGGTCATCACGAACGATGGCGTGCCCTGCCTCTGAATCTAAGCTTTGGCCAGGCGAATGAACATCAACTTGCTGTCGCGTCTCCCTCCCATTGCCCAAGTCTGGCACCCTGGAGAGATTGTAAACGATATTTGAAAAGGAATGATTCTAAGAACCAGGAGTTGTACTAAAAATAGGCAATGTTTATGAAATTTGATGTTAACCATAGTTCAGATTCGTTAACGACTTCGTAAGAGGCATGTACATCAACAACTTACACATAAGCAGTCCTATCGTCACTAACGAATACTTTGAAACTCAACAAAAAGGTACGTGAATTGCTCATTCAATAAATCCTGTGCTATCAGTTGCGCGATTTGGCTTGAGGGGGGGGGGCATTTAGCCTGTTCCCATCCATCACTGCCGATGCCTCATACGGAAACCTGGGAACTCTTCTAAAGCAATGCAATGGCAGGAACTTCATTAACGATGGCAAGAGTTCACACGTCTCAGCTAGATGAGGCGTGTAATTCAAGAGGAATTAGGAAAAAAACTGGCGCTAATAGGAGAATGCTCTCCACCACCTTCGTTATGCCGAACAGCGCTGTGCGTAGGTGCCCGCACTCAGGGTCGTTTTTTTCACGCCAAGTTTTTAGGACAGCAAGGTTTTCGTTGCTCACTCTTATGTCATATAGTAAGCTGGACCGAGGTATAGTTTTGGGGAGAATAAAAAAAAATTTGCGGACGAGATATGAAAAGATCAGAAACATTGTACGACATAATAGGCAAAAAAAAATTAAAAATATTGATTCTCTCGGTATCAGGATCGCTGGGCAAGCTATCATAGAGACGACAATACCTGTTCTCATTGATTACTAAGGGAGCACCTTCATTTTCATCATTCCAGGTGAGATTCGCTACAGCAGTAATGACGAAGTCACGCCATTCTACCCAAGGTAAGGCTTACGGTATTTTGTTTTGTTGCAGATGAAAGCGCTATTGGGTCTAGTGGAAAAGTTTCCGGCGGCATATTTTCATCACGTTTTCACCTTCACAACATGTTTGCTATCTACAGAGTCTTGTTCGCTGCGGATGAGTGGGCGTGTCAGGTGAGCTAGGGGTGGGGTCGGCAAGCCACGAGCCGTTGTTCGCCAGTTTTTGAAACGGGTAGGCGGCAACGATTGATGGAAAACTTCTGATGCGATCGACTTGATTCAGCCTTGTCGTTTGTCGAGAAGAAGGAAAAGAAAAAACGGGCTCCTGCAGCGTCAAACGCATCCCTTTCTACACGCCTCATCTGCAGCTAGCAGTACTGGAACTTATTTAGGCCATTGAATAGCTCTGGAGTGGAGGAGTCGTTCGACATAATATCTTCCTTTCCTTACTTTTTTTTCTTTTTTCAGCTTGGTTATAGAGCATGAAAACTCCTGAGAATGCAATCTTATATTTCTACATAGTCCATATACGTCTTGATCTCTAAAGCAAAATTCATCCTGAAAGATACACCAACAAACGCTTGTACCGCAGATCTCCAAACCCAACTCTCTCTAATAGTATTAAGCTCTACAGTGAATGAGTATGATGTAGAGGAGTTTTAAATACGGGAGTGGACCAGCAGAAGGCGCTGTTTGTCGACGGGGGGGGCATTTTGTATTATCATTGCTTCCCTAGTTCCGGTTTACAAATCTCACTCTGGTAAAACTTGTGAACTCTTGTGAAGCTGAAGTAAGATCGTCTAGCCACTATCCTAAAACGTGTCAACTCGAGAAACGGCTGCCTAGATGGGTCGACACATCTATGGAAAGCAAAATGCCCCCCCCCTCGACAAACTGTGCTCAGCAGAAGCTCTGCCGAAAACTCGGTAATGAGTAGAGGCCGTCATTTTTTATAGTATTTGAGAATGTCATGTTGTTCTAACACTTGTGTCAAGGTTTTGCAACAGGTTTTGCTTTGCAATGGTGCGAGAGTTCAGACAAAAGAAGAGATATATAGGGTCTACCAGAGGAGAGTTGGCACGAGAATACGCACAAAACTCTGGGACATCCCGCACAACCCTCAGCTAAGCATCATATTTCAGCAGCGGTGATTCTTGCACGAGCTCAGCCATTGGCAAGGCTCGAGACATCAACTCCGCGATAACCGATGGATAGAATTCCTTCATTGAAAAAGGGCCTTACATCGTCAGAGGTCGTTCCTCTTTAGCGTCCAGCAGTGGCAAGTGCGCGGCTGGAAGCCAAAGGTATGCCCTATGTTAAAGACGGCTCCGCGATAAAAGTCTCATGGAGGCTGCTCTCAATTATGGAATCAAGTACAGATAAGTAATCTCCCAAAGAAGAAACAGGCAAGAGGCGTCCTCCAGAACAACATAACCAAAATCGCTCCCTCACAGTCACACCTCCCTGCTGTCTCTGTGCAGCAGCACTAGCTCGCCAAATCTCCTCTATCACAAACTCGGCAAGTAGTTGAATATCATCCAGTGCAAAAAAAAGAAAAAAGAAAAACAACAAAAACGCAGAGGAAAAACTCTTGGAAGGAAAAAGGAATTTTATCAACGCGGTGTCTGAATTTGGGATTACGGTAGCGCACGTTTTGTGCGTCGAGGTTTTGCATCACGAAAATGCGTCACTCGTGCTTTTTACGGCGTTTCAGACCTCGCGAAAAGTCGAGTTGAATTGAATGTATATACCTCCAATGAAAACGTAAAAGGGAGAAGCCATCAAATGTATCGCATGGACATCAGGCAATGCCCGCCGCCCTAACTAAGAACAAGCTGAGGCGCCTCCTACGTCGAGACGTCTAGCAAGTTAATGGCGGATCCACACTGGAGCGGCGTTAGAACTAGAACTTACAGAGGCTGTAGCTCGTTTCTCGCTCGCTGTGCAGACGAACAGAGTAGGACAGTCTCTAGCTTGGAGGCTGTACTACTTGCACAGAAAGGGAACGACCAATAGTACTACTGAGCGCGGGGTGTCTTAAAGTGATTGTCATCAAGAGGTCACAGGATACTCCAGTGGGTTCTATACCTAGGGGCAAAGATGTGACGCGTAACATTCATTCTTTGTTGCCTTCCACTGGCCTGACTGTTCTTCCCATCTTTGTGCCCTCGCCCAGGCAGCAATGTCTCGCCTTTCCAATACTGTTTCAGTATTATAACTAAGTTGTTTGTGACTTGTAAGGTGATAATGTTTCTTGGAAACACTTCCCGAATTTTTACTAAGGGCGGTTCGTGTGATGTTTTCCTTCCACAAAGAATTATAACTGATAAAGGCAATGTTTCACTTAAATTACTCATGTGAATAATAGTTTTTTTCAGTTTTCAGAATATTCAGCTGAATATCAGTTTGGTCTTTAATCCCTCTGAAGAAACTGATTGATTAGAAAACAGATCCCTGTTATAGACCGATGTATACTGATGCTGAATCCGATCGGATGCTTTACTTCTATGGATCTGACTACATTTTCAATTCACTTCTCTATCACGCCTATCAAACACCAAACTATAAAAAGGTTTAGTGAAAGGCGAGAAGTAAACGTCATCGAGGAAGCAGTGGAAAGGCGGGTGGGAGTATTTATAGAGCGTTTCTTATTTACGGAAACCACGCTGTATAATATTACCCCATTATTTCATCGTTTTAAAATGAGTTACAGTACCAGGGCTGAAAATAATTAACCTGAACATTCTGCAGCGGAACTTGCTGCTCTTGCAAACGAACCACTCTGCAATGGGCTCTGAAACGACAGGCAGATGCCACAGGGGCCATCCGCCCCCTGTGGAGGGGGTGTGTGAAAGAAGGTCAGAGCAACGGCGGGGCAAAGGGCGTGGCGTAACAGCTGGGGGGTTATTCCCTACCAGTTCTTTACTATTTTAACTACAAAGATGTGTAGTAAGGCCGATCATTAAGCCAGTGTCTGTCCAGTCTTGTTCGCTGCGGATGAGTGGGCGTGTCAGGACAGGATGAGTTTGCTGCGGCACCAGCACCTTTTTTAACAAGCGGCAAGACTGTATTATATCATATATTGGTGCTGGCCCTTTTCCACCAGTTGTTGTTGGTTACTCATTTCAACAAGGCTTGATGAACGGACTGGCGACCCAGCCTCACTGACACGCCCCTTCATCCGAAGCGAACAAGGTTGCATGCAGAGTGACTCCTGTATGTCACAGCACCTGGAATTCCTCCCCCCCCCCGCTCTCTGCACTCAGCCTTTCCCGCGGGAAATAGCTAAAGTCGGATATCTAACCAGGCTGCTTCATCACAAGAGTTTGAAAGATTTGAGGGAACAACGTTGGCTTGGAAAATGAGCTGCACCCATGCAAGGCTTCTCACCGTAGGCGCCTATCATAGTTGGCGCCTACGGTGAGAAGCCTATCATTCTCAATAATCCATAATTTTAGCTAAACAGGAAAAACATATCAAAGAAGTATCGCGGTTTTCTTTCGACCGTCTGTGGTGGGAACGAAAGCTCCAGAGATTTTACTGCGTCGATATGCGTTGGAAAATTGATACCGCAAATAGCTGAGGTAGGTGTCACTTAAAATTAAGAAATGGATGCTGAAGTTAACCACTAAACGTCCTTTTTGGATTTTTCGCTGGCCCAGCGTAATTCGGGGAGGGATCAGTTCACTACGAGGTTTAGTCATGTCACGGCTGGAGCTAACGGCCAGGTCATAGTGGCTAGGTGGGAGGGTGCCATCGGCTGAGGACATGCCATGGTCTGGACTAAACCATGTTAGAACGTGTTACATTGTGTCGATGAGAGGGCAGCCGAGTAGACGACGGGACTTGATCACACTGGAAGGTGAAGTCTCTCCGAGTGCCTATCGTTACGATCAAAAATATCGCTGTTAAAAAATACTCACTGGTTACTATTTAGTGAACGAATGAGAATCGATAGCATAGTTTGCTCGAATTTTTAGGCATACCCCAACACGACGACATCTTTTGTATTGTTGCCGCACGGCCTTCCTGATTTCCAGTTCAACGGAGATGCTGGCGCCATTAAATTATCAAGTAGGTGTCTTCTTCTGTACGCTTTTTGAACCATTTTAAACTTTCTCATTTTTATTTCTACCTTTTTTATTTTTCTTACACCAGTGACTAAGAACCTACCAATAGCCCGATACCGTAAACTGAAACC